CCCCAAAACCCCAAAACCCCAAAACCCCAAAACCCCAACACGACAAACTATAATTGAATATTTAATTGTATACTTGCTTCTAAATGGCTAGCACCACTGAGAAGACCACTAAGCCAAAGTCTGGGGGTAAAGCCTCAGAGACTGGACCAAAAGGATTTACCTTTGATGATAAGCCGGGAAGGCTCATTGTCAGAAACCTGCAATTTGACATCAAGCAGAAACATCTCAAACAGGCATTTGCTAAATTTGGTAAAATCATTGATGTAAATGTCCCACTGAAGAACGAAAATGACATGAACAGAGGCTTCGGCTTCGTCGAATTCAAGACCAAAGAGGAAGGAGCAAAGGCTATTCAAGGAATGAATGCCAAGACCTATAAGGGAAGAATCATAGCAGTAGATTTTGCCAAATCTAAGAGACAATACCAAAAGAAAATTGAAGAAATGGCACAGAAAAACCCTCTCAAATCTAAGAAGCCAAAGAAGACTCAAGAGAAAGAAGAGCCTACTGAACAAGACAGCGATGCTGACAGCTGGGTCGGAGGTGAAGAATTCTTGGGCAAAAAGGGAAAACAGCATCAAAAAGATAATAAAGAGGACAACAAAGAGGAGAAGAAGGAGAAGAAGGAAAATAAGGAAATGAGCCAAAAAGGTCAAAATAATCCTCAGAAAAGCCGCAAGAAGTATGGTAATGATGTAACCGAAGGACTTACCCTCTTCGTCCGTAATATTGACTACTCCACTACTGAATCTGATCTCAGAGAGTGGTTTGAGCAACATGGAGACATTTATTTTGTCAGATTAGTCAAGAGTAAAGTAAACCCTACTTCTCACAAAGGGTCTGCCTTTGTCAAATTCAAGGGCCAAGATGTCGTAGACAGACTAGCTAAACTATCTGAAGATTACTGGGGTCAGGAGAAACACACTACCTCCAAAGAAAGACTCAGTGATCTTGAGTCCCAACTCGAGTTCAGAGGGAGAAGACTTGTAATGTTCAAAGCAGAATCAAAGCAAGATAGAGAAAAGAAAATTGAAGAGAGCAAGGTCAAAGTAGATAAAAGAAATGTAGGGGGCTTCAAAGTCGGTCTCGTTGGAACTGCAGACTTCATCCATGGACCAGTCAGTGATGAAGATATGGAGACCAGGGTCAGACTATTCAGGGAAAAGCAGAAAGCTATCAAGAAGAACCCTAACCTCTTTGTTTCTCAAACAAGAATGTGAATCAGAAATTTACATAAAAAGATGGACGAAAAGGCTCTAGCTGAGTTCTGTGGTGGTTTCAGGGACGACTGGAAAGAGACCCTCACTCCAACAGAACTTAAAGAAGCCAATAAAATTAAGCTTATTCAACAATTCAAGGTTCTGAAGGACAAAAAGAAGACAGATGCTGATGGAAAATCAAAGATGACCGGAATCGGTTTCATTGAAGTAGCAGATCCTCGTCTTGCAATGTACTTAATTAACAGCATGAACAATTTTGTGATGAATCCAAAGAATCCAAGAGGACTTATCGTTGATTTTGCGCTAGAAGATCACAGAAAATTGCTCAAGAGAAAACAAAAACTCGAAAGTTTGAAAAAGAAGCAACAGGAGGCCAAAGCTGAAGAGGCTAAGGAATCCGGTGATAAAAAGAGAACCCGGAAAGAAAAATCCAAGGATAAACAAACCATTGATGTTATCGGTAAGTTATACTCCCACTATCTTCCTAGATGATGTCGAAACACTCAGAAAGATGATGAAAGAGACAAACAGCAGAGGAAAAAGAAACAGAATCAAGAAGAGGATACAAAAATTAACTGGAGAAACTCCAGAGCCTGCCGCAGTCCCAACAGAGAAAGCAGCTAAAGAGGATAAAGTTGAAGAAAAGAAAGATTCTGATCATGAAGAATCTCCAAATGATACAGGTGCTGATGGGGTACAACTCTCTGAAGAAACCATGAAACTTCTCAGCAAGAAGCCTAAAACAAAAGACCAGCTGATAGAAGATGAGATTAAAAAGGAAGTGAAAAAGAATAAGAAGAAGAGAAAACAGAAGAGAAAAGCTGAAGAAGTTGATGATCTTATGAAATCCTTCGAAGATAGAATCAACAAGAGGCTGAAGACAATAGAAGATGCAGGTGATGATAAACCACCTAAAGAAGACAACAGCTTTGATGATGTTGATATTGAGGAAAATTAGAAACTAAAAATTATAATTTTCAACCCTGTCACACTTCGCTGGGGTTTTGGGGTTTTGGGGTTTTGGGGTTTTGGGG